GGTCGATTGACATCCTTCAGCCACAGGAAACGTGTCACATCTCGCTGAGAAACCTGCAGTCGAACCTGATGGAATGCCTTCTCTACGTCCGCGAACAGAAGATACTTGTGCAACCGAGCTCGAAGCTGAATTCCTGCTATCTCCGGTAAAAGAGATGGTCCTTCATAGAGGCAGTCATTCAAACTGGTAACTCCTCGCATGTGGGATGAGGCATCGAAAACTACTCTTAGCTTAGTAGTAGCCAATGATTCCTTGAAGACAGCTTGATGGGGAATGTAGTAAACAAGATGACTGTCGACAACTTGCTCACTAACTTCCTCAATAAAGCCTGACTCCAAGTGTTGTGCGATGGCTGCACAATAGCTCCTCCATACAGATGGCTTTCTTGTAGACTGCGATATTGACTGACTAATCGGAAATAAGCTAACTACTTATTGTCGGCCAGCTGGGGATGTGACTCCTTCCAAGGAAACTGCATGTAGAGAAACCCATTCTCGAAACATGCGGTATCCTCGAAATGCTTGAGGATATGGGAATTGGCGATGGCGTTCTCGTCATCGTAGGGCTGATCTGTAATACCTAAGCGTTCTAACTGCCACAATCTGGCGACGATGTCCTCGTCTTGCTCTTCTCCTCGCCACTGGTCAATCCCGGTGGATGTTGAGACGGGATGAACCTGCGAAAAAAAGATGAACCTGAGACAACGGTACCAAATCGTGTGTGGGTCAGAACTAACCCTGACGGTAGGCATACAGACGATCCTTGTGTGATGATATCCCAGAAATGGTCAATACCTATAAGGACGTCGACGTTGACCGATACATCCTTATGGTAAGTCGGAAGATCGAATCCAAACTGACGAATGAAATCGATATCCTCGTTAGACAATTCTGGTGAGGTAGTGGGGCTTGCGAGCTTGTCTTTGGTGCGTACAAAGACTGTGAGTTCCTTATCGAACGAATCGATAAGTATGAGATCAGCTTTACCAGAAATCTCCGTGGTCTCGTGTCCTCTAAAGGTCGTTAACGTAATCGGCTGATGGTCGTAGACATGAAGGCCTAGTCGTTTCACTGCGGATGTGGTGATAAAGCTGGTCTGTGCGCCGGAATCGAGTAGAAGTGTGACGTCTTGAAGATCTCGTGAGGCTGTGCGAGCTTTGGCTTTCACCAGCATCAAAGCTGGGTGAAGCTGGGGATTGTTCGAATGAAGCTGCAGACGTAGATAACACTGGTGATAGTCCTCATACTCAGTGTCGGACTGTACTAACAGCTGATCATTCATCCTTGCCTCTTCAGGATATGGGGATCCTGATCTTCGTCTTCTGCGTCGTTCCAGTGATGGGGATCGTTGTGATCGCCGATTCGTGGGGATGAATCTCTGACGGGCACGTCAAAGCGTACACGTGGAGATGGGGATCGGGATAACTGACGTTCCCGAGAGTGAGAACTAGAGCTCGATCTACTACGATATCCTCTTTGTTCGCGGGGCTGATAAGCACGATCGCGAGAATTATCTCGGGATCTTCTGCTGTCCCGTACTGGACTTCTCGAAGGAGAATAGTCCTTTGAGGATTGACGACTTCTCGTAGTCGATCGGGATCCATGGGGCGATCTAGTCCTTGGGGATCGGCTTTTCCTTGGCGCGAACCTACAGAGGAGTCGATGGTGGTATAGGGGCCTGCAGGATCGCGAGAGTCGGACGTGCGCACGGCCATTGCGCGGCGCACGTCAGATGCGCGTCCGACGACTCAGATAGGTGCCAGACTTTCCTGTTCAACAGGTTCATTCGGTTAACCACCTTTTCTGTTGGACAGTGTAGTGATTTGACCTCTGAACCGAACGAACCGGTTGAAGCGGGTAAGTCTGGCACCTGCCTTAGTGGCATCAGACGTGCGCGGCGCAATGGCCGTACGCACGTCCGATTCTCGCGATCCTGCAGGCTCCCATAGCCTCTACAATTCCTGCAGATGGGATAATTGCACTGATCTTGACGATGTCCTTCACGAAGACATTTCCAACACAATCCCAGAAATTGCACGATCTTGCGACGAGCGTTGACTGGCATCTGTTGGTTGCATCCACGAGAGGAGTGTGCAAAGGAATCGCACAAACAACATGCGGCTGGATCATAAAGCGATCCTGGGGATATAAACGTTGATGAACGTCTTGGGGAAGACGTTGATTGACGTCCTGGGGAAACATCTCTGTTGATGGCATAAGTACTACTGCGGGAGCAAGTCTGCTCGAACCTCTCCTTTGACTGAATAAGGTCATCGAGGTGAGACATGACTTGTCGGAGATCGAAATCGGCTCGTTTCTCGAACTCGACGTTGTTAAGCCGCTCCTGAATAGACAGGGGGAACTTAATACGCACGAAATCGATAATGTAAAGGACACGATTCAGATCCTCGAAGCGCTTAAGGGCATGGAGGATACCCTAAATCCGGAACCAAGTGTTTCGCATATCCGAAGCTGATTCGGTTGTGGGAAGATCTCTGAGCTGCTGATGGAGTAGCGCTCTGTTCCTCCTCGGGCAATCGTATCGCTTCTTCAATGCTTGCACCAACTGATAGTAGTTATTCCGTCCTGGTTCAAGATCCTGTAGTACCACTTGAGCTTCTCCCTTAATTAAGCTCATCAAATAGAGGTATTTCATATTGAGGTCAATGTGGGATCGTCGTGGACAGCTAGCTCGAAAGCACACCAAAACTGCTGGAACTTGGTAACATCTTCATCGAAATGCGGCAATGTTAACTTCTCCAAATGGATCGGTACGTTGTGCGACGATGGGGCAGTTTGTGCTGGGGCGAGCTGAAGATGTTTCAACTGCCGGGCAACGTCCAACTGGGTATCTACAGCTTGAAGCTGTGGGGCATCTGTGCGATCTTGTCGCTGGGGCGTCGTCACTGTTCCTGTGGTCCCCGTAACAGCATCCTCACTGATGGAATTAGCGAGTCGGTGGATACGAAGAGACTGGAAGAGTTCACTGTCCGCTTCCTGCGTACTCTGCAAGGTACGGAGAAGTGCTTCAGCGTCGGCCTGATCTTGATCCACGCTGTGCTCCTCCTCGAACCTGCTGTACGCCTGCTGATCCGTCGGCGAATTGGAGATAGTAATGTGGTACAGAAGTACATCGCGACGTTCACGCAAAAGCGAAAGTGCGGATCTCAGACTCACTATGGAGAGCTATGCGGTTGCCTGACGTTGCTGGAGCTGATGGAGTTGCTCCGCAACTGGGGCGTCAGACACATACGGGATAAGCAAATCGGAACTTACCTGTTTCCTAATCGTCTCCAAGTCCTCGATGGCTTTGACGACCTTGGGGATGTAGGATTCGACGGTTGCCATATCGATCGTTAGCGCTCTGACTCGAAAACTTGCAGGAGGCGGTAACTGCAGACCCAAATTCTAAAATTGTGCTACATGATATGTTCGATGGGGGTGTGACCACTTCGCGACGTAGCCACACAAAATGGTGAACACAATACACGAGCGAAATGCATGAAACGGTAAACACAAACAACGACCGCAACCCCTAGACGTTACCATGGGAAGATGAGCGCCGGTAATAGAGAGGAATGTCAAACGCAAGAAGCAAACAACTAGCCAAGACTAGCCACAAATTACGAAAGAAGAAAGAAGAGAAAGGGATGAATGCGCAATGCGATCATGTGGGAGAAAGAATAAATTTGGGGGTGAGACTCTCATCTAACGCAACACAAGGGCTCTTTCGCAGCCTGACAGCGTGTTTCAGGGCAGACAGAGCCGAACCATCTCGATGGCTGCAGAGAAACCTGGCCGTCAGAAGGCACCAGACAGTTCCGGGCAGTAGGAAGGGCGTAGATTGCTGCTGCCATCCAGGTCTACGGGATCACCCTACCCTCGATAGTGGAACTGTGGGTAGTCGCGTACTCGCGTCAACCTAGTCGCGTCGGAACTTGCTGATGAGACGAGAGATGAGTTCTCTAAGAAACCACAACAACCAAGCATGTATACACTGCGCAAACATGTGAAGTGAAAGGATGGGGAGGTAAGATTTGCACTGCTAGCTAGGGGCGCTGATGTGCAAGGCGTGCACATGTGGACTACACAGGTAAGACCTGATCACAGAAGCTGAACATAGGTTTGCTATCCCTATGCTCAACTCCGGTACGATGCACCATGTCGCGGATTGGGCCCCCAGCTCCCAACGTCAGTGGTACAATTGCTCTCCTGCATCGGCGAGGGGAGCCGGGGGTCCGCACCGTGAGTAAGTGAACGCATCCCGTGAGGTGGCTACCTGTGTAATGCTCATTGGGGCCTGCCACACGGGTACTCCCTACACGCGTAGTGGCCCTTGCCACCAGCCTACTTGGCAGTTGTTGACACCTGCGGCTTGACCGTCCTCAAGACTACCGACGGTTGGGGCGTGCACTTATAACCCTGGCACTCAGCTAGCATCATGCCAGCCCTCTCACTGATGTTTCTCACTGGGCATGGTTATAAAATATACACGCGACATAATGAGGTAATATTCCGGAGCCACAGTCGTGCTGTGGCCACCGCACCAATACACATATCACACCTGTAGAATGCCCACCATTTATCCGCATATAATCCCTAAACTCAAACATACAGGATGAGCACAACCGACTAGATGTTAAGACCTAGGGGCCGGCAATATCGGAAACCCCCCGAGGCGGTGTCGCCGGCGTGTGCCAGGCGCGATCGCGCTCGGGTTTACCTCGCTGCGCGGGAGCCAGTCCTCCGTGGCGTTGATAGACTTGACGCGTGAGATGGGGTAGCGCTGATCGATCAATGGCAAGAGACGATTGGAACCCGACCGCTCACTGTGACGGCAGCTGCGAAGACTGACTACGTGACTTAAGCGAAATCTGCGAAGGTAAGAGAGGTGAGAGGCGGGGCAGCGCGAGGACGGCGTTTTGGGACCCTTCGCGAGGCGGCGGCGGCGACCTTTGAAGGAAGTCGCGAATCCGCGACACAGATTTCCATGCTCGCAACATGCTTTATCTCCTTCTCGGCTCTTCATGCTCTCTATCGGATCTCCTTCGGCATCCTTCTATGCTCACATTCCGCAAAAATGCCGGTAAAGCGCCGCTTATCGAAGCAGAGCACAAGGATCTCTCAGCGCTCAGTCTCAACGACGTTCACGGTAAATATTTTTGAAAAATCCTCGTTATTTTTTTCCCAAATGTATAATGATTTTTTAGGATTATTGCGAGATGAGCTCAATCGTTACGAGTCACCGATCTCTATTCAAGATGTGCAGTGACATGTCTTCGTAATTATTTGATTCCGAAAAATTCGTTTTTGGGAGGCACCTATCTTTACGGGTAAAAAATACATTTAGATGTAAAATTTCTGTTCTCGTTGTTTGCTCTGTAAGTATTCGTTTTCTCTTGTTTTTGTGATTTTTTCATTGTGATGCATAATAAACTGTGTTTTATTTCATTTGTAATTTGCGTTGTCGTGGAAACATTTCATAAGAGGAAATGCTATAAGTTGGAACCAAATTATTTATGGCGTGATACAGACAAGTTTTTTGAGAGCTGGGGCGAAGTATAAAACGTTTGTTTTCTACAGTAGAAGTCTCTCCTCGAAAGTTTGTTGCCAAATCTTGAAAATCAGTGTTCGTGCTTGAACGGGAGGCTTCATCTTGTGAGATATAGTTTGTTGAACATTCCTGAGCGTTGATGAAGCAAAATTAATAATTTTTAAACGAGAGGGGACCAATTTTCTGAATGCTTTTTTAAGTTACATTACCATCACAGTGTTGATGGGTCCAAATTAGAAAAAAATTCTCGAAGTTCTTAGAAGCGCAGTCTTTCCTTACATCCTGGGGCAATGTAATGTGTCCACATGAAGTGTTACGGCTCGGTTAGCCCAGCACTCCTATCCGTGCGCTCGACTGCCTGCTCCGCTAACCCTACACCCTAGGATAATACGCGTCCGACACCGACGTGCGCTTCGGCGCGTCCACTCGACGCTGGCATTCCAACAATAGAATTTATATACCAAACCACGAAAATATATTATAAACAACAACAAAAAACTACCAAACTACAAGATCCCTAGATGACCGAAATGATAACATGGGAAGAGTCGCAAGCCGCCGATGCACTACAAGCTTAATCAACATGAAAACGTCTAGGTTCTTTCTACAGGGTCTGCCGCTAAAAGCCCTGGCCCAAATGGGACGGCGCGACCGCAGCTCCGCTCCCGCATCCTTGCTCATTCACTAATACAATGAACCTTGCCTTCTCGCGTTACTGCCGTTCCATCATGCAAAACATCTCTAAACTCGGCCGCTCGACGTAAAATCCTTCTATGCAGGAGCTGCTAAAAGGGCCAATATAAGAGAGCAATCAGTAACGAAACAAGGTTAAAGAGGCGACGACTGCTCCCCGCGCAGCCTTATAAACCTCTCCGCTTGGCCGCCTTCCCAGCCAAATTGGTCTTGCGGCAGTACAAAAGGCACGTTGGTAAACGCGGCATACAGCGCTCCGGGCAACTGTTTCAAAGAGGTGCTCTGCAAAGCCGCGACATTAGGGCCCTTCTGGAGTTCGCAAATCTTTCGACTCTTCGACTAGTTAAAAAAATAACAGAAGTTTGAAACAGCAGGTCACAATCTTTATTGTTGTTCGCTATGTAGAGAAGACCTGTCTGTATACAAATTATTCATCTGTTGGCACTTCGACATATCACATAGAGGTCTAAATCATACTTTGACCTATTCAAGGCATCATCACTCAAAACTGTACAGTAAGACAATCAACCATAAATTACTTGATTAGAACTTTGGCCTTAAAAATAGATGCGGAAATTGTATAACAGTTTTGCCGATGTAGTTTTGCCGCTTTTAGAGTGTTAATAAGATGTTCGCCATTTTCAAACGGTTTGTCACCGGAAAAGGGGAATGTAAAGTAAAAGGTACATTCATTGTACATCCAGTGGCCGTATTCATCAACGAACCCCGAGGGTTAAACTAACCCTGGAGGGTTAGTTTAACCCTGGAAAGCGTTTAACCCGTATTCATGAAACACAGGGTAGGCTTAACCCTGAGGGTTAAATCTAACCTTGAGGGTTAATTTTACCCAGAAAGCGACTAACCCGTATTCATCAACGAACCGTGAGGGTTAAACTAACCCTGGAGGGTTAAACTTATGTGATTCATCAGGGTTAATTTAACCCAAGCTCAGAGCAAGGTTAACTCTACTCTAACACTTCATACAAACATTTACTCGCATCTAATAGTTTATGGAAAACGACCAACGAGTATTGTAGCAATTAGTATTGGTTGCTGTTATAGTATTTAGTTTCGACTTCGTTTTATGTTCATATTCAGGTACATGAAACACTGACTTTGCGAGAAAAAGGATTTTAGCTTTGGTGACGAATGAATGCGACCAGGAAAAATGGTTGCGCATTCCACTCTGACAAGTGCCAAAACAGAAGCCCCTTTATGATAATACGCATTGACCCCTAAAAGAGTAGCACAAGCCCGGTATATAACGAACTGCGTAAAAGTAGAACTTACACTGCACAATTGCACAGATGAAAATAAACTCACGCTGTAAGATTGGATGCTGCACAAGTATTCTAGAGATGTATTATACAAACTAGTGTTAGAAGCTTATTCTTTGACTATACTACTATAACAGTGAAAGAATAGAAGTTTAAAGTGAATTGAGCGCGTACTTAGGCATTCTATGATGTGAGTTTGCACAGCGCACGCGTGACTGACGCCTTAACCCTCCAGGGTTAGTTTAACCCTCGGGGTTGATGAATACGGCCACGGGTTCGTTGATCGATACGGGTAGATAGCGTTCCGTGGTAAACCCTAGCCTATGGTTGATGAATACGGCCAATGAACCCTGAGGGTTAAACTAACCCTGGAGGGTAAGCTTAACCCTCAGGGTTCGTTGATGAATACGGCCACAGGAGTATTTTTGCTGTTCTTATAATCCCTTTTTCCCATGAGTACCTCCTGCGAAAGGAAAAAATGGAAGAAGAGCTTTCAGTGGGACACAAGATGCTAAACAAGTCTTGAAGGGAAGGATTTGAACAGAAGAAATCGCCCACGCTAATTTCCTGTCAGCGAACTCTACATTGTTGTTTTCTATTGATCTACAATTTTCAAAGTAATCAACAAGGATGGAAGTTTCCAATTTATTAGTGAGGCCACACCTTCTGTATGTTTCGAAAAGGAATACTACGCCAAGTTAGTTCACATATCACCTGATATACGGGATAGACGGATTCAGGAAAGATTTCATGGATTTGTTTTTGACTTCTTTCCATTTAATCAAATTTAAAAGCCCTAAGACCATGAAATTTATATTTGTTCGAGTTTCTTTTTTGAATTTGGTATTAGCAAAGAGACAGCAAAGAGTACTTGCACTGTGAACTGCGCATCAACTCAATAGCCCGCAGTAAACCCTCTTTAGCTTCACTCGGCTGGAACTCGGGCTAACTAATTGTAAGTCAAGGATCGCGTTTAGACGTGAAGATTGCGTTCTCAAAAAGAAAGTGCAGACAATGAGCCGGACGGTTAAGTGATAAGGATTTAAGGGCAAAGTCATGCATGGTTCGAGGATGGCTAGTGGACAGTTCTTGCGGCACATTGGACAATAATCTTTGATGCACTGTCTAAATTGATGATGACCGCTACCAAGGATATCGACTAGCAAATAAATGAAAGAACAAAACTAGGATATTTTGACGAAGATTTTGTGGAAAATTGAAGTTGTTAGAAAATAAACAGCATGAGTCGGTTTCGCTCTTCTACTGAGTGTAGGTATCCTTTTGTAATTGACAGTTGATCCAACTGTCTACAAATCGCTACTTACGACTGATGTGACCAAGAAACACGTGATTAGACAGGAATGTTTATTGCACAATGACTAGGCAAAATAAAGAACAAAGTTAGAGTTGAGTTGCTAATAAGAAGAGAAAACACAACACCCTATTTGGTTCCAGTTAAGACTAATTATTCTAGGCTCAAATTGTAGGCCTGGACCACCTTAGCTAGGGCTCCGCGCCTCTCACTGTCTCAGACTCCGATCTCTCATCGGCGTCTGTCCCCTGGGTATATTGGGCCGCACCCATCACTGGATCCAAATCGATCCCTAGACAGCCTTGGAGCCACGCCCATCTCACCGTCGGAAACTACGGATCTCTCACCGGCGTGTGTCCGCGGGATATGCCAACCACGCTTTAATAATTAGCATTGGTTATTGATTGCCAATAACTTGTGATGGGAAGAAAACTATCAAAAGAAGCACTAATGTACAACACATGAAATAAATCAATAGATTCTTGTCTGATGCAAACCTAAGCGAACTCTACAAAAAAGAAAAAACTTGTTTCCTTTTTTTCGGCGTAATCAGCTGTTAATCGATCTTCGCCTACTTGGACCCCAAAATTGTGGTTGTGCAGTTCTGTAGGTTTTGCACCGCAACAGTACGTCAACTAAGTTGTCGCATAAGTTACTCACGAGCAATTTACGAGAATTTTGTCTGTCTTCTTTTGCACACTATCCCCCTCGGTTCACCATAAGATCTACTTTCATTGTAGTGGCATTCTGTTGAACTAACCGTAACACTTAAGCGGAAGTATTCTGATTGTTCAATGAACATCCTAAATCACATGAAGATCTTAGGTTTGACCTAAGACTTTCTAATGGCATCCCAGTTCAACTGAAATGAATGGGGTCCACTTCATATTACCTAATTCGCTTTTGCACTTGTTTTTCACTTTTTGGGTGTGTAATTGTCAAAATGTAACGAATATAGCAACAGAAGCAGAAGTTCTAGACGAAACTTCTATTTCGGTCACACAACTTCAGACGCAGAGTCCCACCTCAGCTTCACAGGTGGTTCCAGAGCCACACTCAGTGCAGCTGCGGCCAGGTTGATACACACTCTTACCAACTATATTTCCTCTGTAATCAGAATCGATTATTTTTAACCAGCCTATACCGCATACCTTGGTGAATAATTGCAAACGCACACGTACGATGATTGACAATCAACAACAGAACATCCCAGATACTTTGTGGTTGCCCATGCCATCTAAGCAAACTGTTGAAAAGAGAGACATTCTGATTTGACTTTCGTTTCATCTCGTACTTTTTAATGCCCCTTGTAGTGTTGTATGTGGTCTAAGTTTCAGAAGCTATGAAATCTACGAATGCATGGAAAGCTGTGTGTTTTTGCTGACTCGACTTGAAAAATCTCTTTGTCATTTCGCTGTGAGTTTCGATTAGTTCATTGAATGCACACAAGTCATCCATGCTAATTCCTTGAAAGGCATAGGCTGTTCATTTTCAAGTTTATATTAGGGCGAACGGTAAAAATGGGACAGCTGGATTTTCATTACATTTTGGAATTTTTTGTTTCTGGCAACAGCAAGTAAGCAGCAACTTAAACGTCGCTTACATGGGCGACCTTCGCTTATTATTCTGACAACGCGTTAACCCTCCTCTTCCACTACCCTACACGTGGCGCCGTGAACAACTCGAACAGGGTTTTTTGGACAATCCTCAATCTTGCGCTGTTATACCGTAAAGTCGTAAGGAAATTGACATACCATTCGAAAGAGCTTTTCATGCTCTTTCGAACGATACGTTAAATGCATGAGATTTCTTTTCAATTTCAGAAAAAAAATCGAAAAAAACCTGGAAAATAGCTATTTTTGGCGCAACAAAAACCAAAAAATCATGTTTTGCCCTATATTTTCCGAAGATAGATAAAATCTGAAGTAAGCTGCATATGGATGGATAGAGCGTAAAAAGCTTTATCAGATGATACCTAGAAATCGTGCGTTTACCTGCAAAGAATTGAATTACGCGTATCTTTGTTCTCGAAGCTGTTAATGGGCATATCTTCTGACATTGAGAGTTGAAGCCACCAAGCCGTCGTGGGTTTCGTGACTGTCCCACCACTCACTCCAGCAGTGGTACTTTGGGTGGTCTCACATGTTTCACTGCGCCGATACTGCTCAAACTTCATAATTTCTCGAAGTAACTAACTTTGCATTTTAGCAAGTATAAAAATTATCCATTACTTAAATGACCTTATATAGGTGCTATCTGAAAGAGAATAATTTATTCTATTATCCATCAAAATTGGAAAGTTCAGTCACTTTTCTTCCTTGAGAAATCTGCAATTATTCTCAAGGTGTCTCATTTTTTACCGTTCACCCTAATATTTCCTATGAGTCACCTTTCAAGCATTTCTAATGCCCAAAGGTACCTGAGTAAACGACTTTATGGGAGTATGAAGATAGCTCTTTTGGAATAATACGGACGGGCCAAGATGTGTTGTTTCACCTGCTCTCCACCATGAATCTACAGCCTGTAAAAAAAACGAAAAAAATCACAATTGCATGCACCTGGGCGTACCGTGACAACAGCATCAACTAAGCTTGCATTCTCAACTTTCGACAATCGGTAATAGTTTTTACCAAGATGCCCTTTCCCAGGCTTCTGTGACCTCGTCAAGGGACAGCGTTTTGCATATTTTACTGCCAGCTCTTCCAAACCGCAATCATACACCTAAAGCAAATTTGCATTTTATATGAGCAAAACAAAGCACGTACCAATCTCATCATATTTTTGGCTTGTGGTAAAAATTCTCCCCCTCTTTTCAATTTTCCCAATGATAGGACCAACCTAAAATTCAATCATAGTGAGTACGAAGACATCTCCGGAGCACCCTGGGATATTATAAAATGCATCTGACCTTCGGTAATTATGCATATCCAAAAACAGCAGTCTGAGAGTGTCCGTCATTTCCTTGTTGTTGGGACAAATTTGAGAGTCTAAAGTTGGATCGAGAGCTTTTATAGTGTCCATGGCTCTTCAGAAAGATCCGGTTTGATAATATAAAAAGGGCGGATCAGACCTTGTGCTTTATATCTATGTTTTGTGGCGATTCAAATAAGGAGCATCTTAATTTTTCAACCGTTTTTTGAGAACTCTTCTTCAATGTGAGCCACCAATTTAGGCGTCCTTTGTATAAAGTGACCTTCGCAGATTATCCTGACAACACTTTGCAGCACCTCACACACAGTCTTTTGAGCGACTCTCCAAAGAAATCAAACAGCCTTTATTGAACGCCTCAGAATTTGCCTACTGTACTATAGTTACGAACGGAAATTTTCAGCGAATGAACGAATGTTGAATATTTTTTGAAAAATTTTCGAACAAATAAATCTATCGAACAATTGAATTTTGAAAAATTTTTGAATGAACGAATATTACTCGATTTTCGATTTCCATATTGTTCGAATTCGAATATTCAAATACGAGCAACTTGATCGAATATTCGACTAATCGAATAAACTTATAACAAATAATTATCGAATATGTGAATTCAATACAAAGACTTAAAAGCAATAAATGAATATTCGAGTATTCGAACAACTGTTATCCGAAACTTCCCGAATATTCTATTATTCGAATAATTGTCTTTTGGAATACCTCAATTCTCGAATAGTTGAATAAGTCATTTTTCGAATCGTCGAATGAACGAATCTTCCAAATAAACTTTTTCGTTTATTAGACTATTCGAATAATCGAATAATTGGACTTTTTCAAAAAGTCTACTAATCGAATAATCAGTAGTCGAAGATTCCGAATAAATTGTTCAAATACAAATATTCGGTTCCAGCAATATGCTGTACCCCAAAGTCCCTAGACATATGACGTATCGATCGAAATAGCTTCTCAAGCTTTTTCTGATAATTACTTACATTAATTCGTACAAAAGAGGCGTTTTATTTGAAAATGTGCGATGTTTGGAGCAGGCTTTCAGGCTAAAAATCATATTTTGGCCCACAATTTTTTGAAAATGAGAAAAGTCGAGGTAAGGTGCATACGTATGTACTAGGCTGTTGCATAAGTTTTGTCCGATTTTTTTGCCTCATGTTTGAAGCAGCTGTTCTAAGAAAATTTCATCTCTAATTCGATACGGTTGGTATCATTGAAAAGTGCTTTCCTTGCGCTTTCTAAAGCATACCAGAATTCAATAAAATTCTTAGTGTACGGAGATCACAGGCCTAAAATCTCTAAGTGGCCGAGGTACGTTCTATCCCTAGAAATATGTCCTTGCGAGGATATCTCCACAATGCGCCTTTCAAGTCAGGTTCTTTCATTGGCTTCGGAATAAGGGTATGGAATGCTAGTATATGCAGAAGTTCGGTCCCATGAAGAATACGTCTTGCTAGTGAAATTTATCCTCGAACATAAATCTTTGGTATAGATGTTTTACAAGCAATAACTTTCTGCGAATAGAAGTAATCGACAAGCTCAAAGTTGGAGGTGCTAGGGCAAAGCAAGAGCTAACAGGGCCCATCCACCAATTCCTTTTCGGCGCTCACGTCAGTTGTAAAACGTTCGTAGTTCATAAATAGGCATGCACACATGTGCTGAAGCGAGGTCAAAAAGTGGCTAATTTTTTGTTCGGTCAAGAAAATCTCTCGGCAGCGCAAACCCTATGGGCTCTTTTATGTTGCATAATAATCTACGAAAATTTCTCTATCCATCCATTATTAGAAAAGATGCCTATCAATTTTCATAAGGGAGCGTTACCATGTCAAAAAAGACAGATTCGAAGAAAAACGCTGCGAAGTTTTTGCATTCTTGGTTCTTCCTTAACAAAGATTTGCGCAGATCTCAATATGCATTTTTTAGCCAAGGGACTGCTCAACACATAGAAACTAAGACCTTGGAAAAAAGTTGACTCTGAAAGAAGTTATGACATTTTAAACTCAAAAATTCAAATCGGACAGAACTTATGCAACAGCCTAGTATAGAGCGTAAAAAGCTCTATTAGCCAACAATTGTGGTGAGCTCATTTGTTTACATTGATGAGAAAATAAATAATATGTCGTCTAGTACCCAATGCTATATCCTCTAAAACGATGGGACCACCAGGATATCGTGGATTTGGTGACAGTTCCCTAACCCATTGCTGGCAGATATTGGTATGCTCACTTGTTTTACTACGGCGGTACCGCTCAAAATTCACATTACTTAAAGTAATAAGCTCTGATTTTAGCCGCTTATAAAAATAACGCAATGTGAAGTGCCCATCTTAAACCTCAACAGAAAGTTTTGTTATATATGCCCATCTTAAACCTCGATCAGAAGGTTTTGTTGTTTACTACTATCTGCCAAATTTGAGACTTTCAAGTAGGTTTTTCATATCTGGGAATTATCCCGTCAATATAATTCTCTTTCCTGTAAGAAACAAGCATAGTCTTTTCGCGCTGTATTATGCCATTGCCAAAATGAAGTTGTATAGCATCTGAAAATTTTAAGGCTTAAACAAGTTTGATGTAATCCTTATCGGTGATTTTGCTTATCAGATAAGTTTCTACTGCCAGCATATGCAAATTCCCTGAGGATTGTCAAGAGAAAATGATATCCCAAATATCACAGATCTCGTAGTAGATTCCTTGAAGATAGTCTTGACTCGTATGACCGATCTCGGACAAGGTTGTATTCGACAAGGTTTCAAAGTAATTACGAGAGGACTATTTGAAGAGGTCTTACATGAATCGGAAAAGCGGCCATATCTGCAAAATAGTAGGATGCTTTTTCCTTTTCCAAAAACGTTTTCTAAGTGGGTACGTTATATTCTAATGAATCAATTCTGAACTTGTCAAGACTGCTGAGTGCCACGTTTCGAAAAAAAAAACGATAATAACGATAGCGTCAACGAAAATAGACGTTTCAATTTTTTTTCACTTCTGCTCTTGCATACTTCCGGTGACATAAACATAGCGTTTTATATATATATACTAGATGACTTACCCGGCTCCGCCCGTGTACGTATGTTCGACATCGATCGATAACGAAAAGTGGACTATGACACCTGCCCGGCCCCGAAGTGTATGTGTGCAAAGCTTGGTCCCGATCGGTTCAGAAATAAAATTTTCTATTCGGAACATACGTACACACACACATACATACATACATACATACAGACAGACAGACAAACAGACATTAACTTTATATATAAGATATATATATACATATGTATATATACACACCACTTTTTTGATCGTATCTAAGAATGAGAATCAAGGAGCTTTTTGTAAAAACATCTTACGTCTTCTTAAGCAGGCGTCAGATCATGAAGCAGCTTTTTTGAACGAAGTCGTAGTCAGCTTCACAAGGATTTCCTCTTTAGTTGGAGTGACTCTTGTGATAAGGTACATGTGGTTGGATTCTGTCATGAATGCTGATCTCAAGACTGCACGTATCTGGGTAAAGCTTTTCTAAGAAACGCATGCACTATGATGCCCGCTGGGAAGGGGATCGCTTAAAAGAAAGCTTCATATCCTAAAGCTCCAGACTGGATTTCACGCTGTCTAACCTTTGATTCTACTGGCTCGGCGGCTAGAAGGCCGCACTTTGCGACCTAATTAAGGCCGCTCGCGCCCGCTACGTAGTCTGCGTCTCTCCGCGCTTGCTGGTTATTTCCTAGCCTTAACTGGGTCAGGAACCGCCTTTCAGCCCAAGCCAGTTGAATTAAAGGTACCTATCCGCAATGGCTCCTACTATTTTGCACTATGAACATATTAAACAGGAGCAAAGCTGTACAAAGCTCTTTTCCAGCTTTTGTATAATCTTCTGATGATTCCGAGCGGCCGACTGTCTTTCCTTGAAAGTCATTTTTCTTTCTTCAAATTTAGTAAAATCCTCCTAATGTTGTACTGATAATCCAACACAACAGTGCTAAGCATGTTGCTGATAAGAAGAGATGAGTTTTGAAGAATCGATTTTTTCGATAACCCCCAACTTTCAATTTGTGTTTTATCGCAAATCTCATGTCCAGTACATCATTTATTCTTATTGCCAACACGTTTAGCACTGTTGGGTTAGATAATCCATACAACTTCGAAAGCTTTTCGCTAGCTTCGAAGAAAGAAAAATGTTTATGAAGAAAACGGTGGTCGCCGGGAATCATCAGGAATCACACAAAAAACTGGGAAATGGTGCTTGTACAGCTTCTCGCTACTGTTTAAATTGTTCGCAGCGAAGGATAGTAGGATTACTTGTGAATAGGTAGACAAAATTAAAATTCAATTGTCTAGAGCTTCAGGATCTGAAGCTTAATTTTCAGCTGCGATCCCCTCCCCAACGGGATCTTAGTGCATGCTGCCCTAAGAAAGACTGTGGCTCCAGAGACAAAACTACAAAAACACTGGATGTAGAAGGATTTGACATTTCATGCTTTGTGCAATAAATGGCCGCACTCACACCAACGGCCGCACTCCTGCCGCGAATGCATATGGTGCACTGCTCTACTAAGCGATGTGTTAGCATATCAAACTCGTATTCAAAGAGATTTCGAAGATGAGGAGCGTTTGAGTTTAGCACTTACCACTAATTTCAGCAACATGCATCTCACCTTGAATAACCCTTCAACTAAAGAGGAATAAAAATCTAGGGGAATAAGGCCTTAGTAGCCTGCTTTGCCAATCCACCAACCCCCCAGATATGCCCTATGCATATTTGTGCTTTTCAAAATATATCTCAGAATAGGAATTACAACGGTGTAACTTGACTGGTAACACTTTATTTTCGAAGTGAAGCATGTAAACTGACTTATGAAAAAATGAGCTGTACTGTTCGGCCACTTGCTGTTTGGGTGGCCGAACCCGTACCATCAATCATCCCGCACAAAAGCGGGTGGTACGGGTCGACGGGTGTCAGCGGATTGTAAGCTAAATTTATACTGTTTCGGAAATTGCGCAATTCCAGCACAGTTCTAGCACTTTCCGGAGCTGCTACATGCGCTGCAGCCGCA